AACAATGACCTCTCGGGTCCTGGCTCTCTGCCCCTCTCTTTTTCCCTGAACTGCAACCCAAGGGTGGCTGCAGCCCTGCGCAAACAGGAAAACGATGTAGGCATAGACAACTGTTTTACAATTCTATGTTTTTCTCCCACAAACACCTCGTTGGTCTCCAGAGCTTATGGTGGCTCATCAGCAAGATGGACTGAACTGTCTAGTACACCAGACTGAACCCCAGCCCTCTGGGGGCATCCACCTGCCTTTCCTGCTGTCTCAGGGAGATGTGCTTCCAGGGTGGAATTTAGAGATCTCAGTATTCAGTGCTAGGCCCTGGCAATAGCTCTGGGAAGGGGATCTTGGCACAGGAATAAGTGATTAAGGGGCCAGGGCCCAAGGTCAGATTTCCTGGATTCAAATCCCAGCTCTGTCACTTCTGTGTGTCCTCAAACCTCAGCTTTCTCATCTGTAAAACAGGGACACTACAGTTTCCATGCCTCAGGGCTGTTGTAAGGTTGAATGACCTAACAGGTGTTCGGTGCTGAGAATGACCAGAGCCTAGAATGTACCAAAAGCTTTGTGAGTGTGAAGGATGACCAGTGTCACCACTGCTGGTCTTACTGTGCATTCCTAACTGGTTCCATTTCACCTTCCAGGGTACAGAGAACAGCTCCACATCTCCATAAGCCTTACGGTGGATGCAGCAGCCTCTGGCCCTGCATGATCATGATCATCTCCAGTCCTTCCAACGGGGTCCTGGGTTCTGAGCCCTCCAGGCCCTCACAGGACTCTGAGGCTTGTGTGAGACCAGCTGCAGCCTCCTTGATTAGGGATATCTGGAAACATCTCTGTGCCTCTCCAAAGAGAGTCAGGTCTCCTAGGACTGGGGAATGCCAGTCAACCCAGGCATACACAGCTGGCCACTTATCCACAGCCCCTGGGTGGGTCTTCCACTGCCCTTCATGGGGGAGCCACCAGGTGACAGCACCCCCCTTCAGTGGCAAATTCTGATTGGTCCATGATGGTCTCATTCCCTGTGCCAGCCATAGGCTGAGATGTGTTCATGTGACCCAGGTCTGACCAATGAATGGAGATGTCTGTGCAGGGCTGGGGATGCCCCTTCTCCTAGCTGAGTTTTCTCCTGAGGGCCCAGGTCTCCTGGAGCTGCCAACACCCAGGGAGTGACACTGCCAGGCTGAGGGCCAAATAAGAAAGTGGAAAGATCCGGGGCCTGATGACATCATTAAGCCTTTAAGTTAACCAACCGTGAAACAGCCCAAATGTTATCACACAAGGATCAACCTTCTTCTAGTTTAGGAAGTTAGGCCGTGGATTTATTTTTAAATTTTGTTATTCTCAGTTCCAAGCATCTTTGCTAATAGTTCTTGATTACCTTTCATCTTCCAGAGATTAAGCCCAACATGAAGGCTTCCTGGAGGAGGGGATGCTCAAGTGGAATCTAAAAGGAGGGGCAGACAAAGGGAGCAAAACTCCGGGTTAAAAGAAAGTGGTAAGACCAGAGGGGTGAAGGCTGGAGATGCCAGGAGGATGCGGGGGACACCAGAGATCATCTGTGCTCTGGGGGTCCTGAGAGACAAGAATGGGGGGCAGGCACTGTTGGCCATGGCCCAAGGTACACAAAAGGGCAGAGGGGAGCTCTGTGGGTGGCCTCACCCTCCATCTTCGGGCCAACAACAGGTGTGCTCAGCTCTGTCCTCCTGACTCACTCCAGCCACAGCCAGAGGCTGCCCAAGTGTCCGAGGCAGGGCCAGGCAGGGTCACCGAGCTTGCCTCTTAACAGGTGTGCTCTGCCTGCCAGGTCCCCAGGGTGCTCATCAGAGACTCCAGCAAACACAGACGTGGCTGAAATCTGGGTCACTCTGTGTGTGGTTGGAAATCCATCACTCAGACAGCTACTAAGTGCCTACAAAGCAGTGTACTTGGGGCCTGGTTCAAATCCCAGGCCCGTGGCTTCCCTCCCGTGTGACCTTGAGCAGGCCACTGCATTCCTGCAAGCCTGGAGCTTCACCTCTGTGCAGTGCGAAGCGCAGTGGGGTCAGCCAGCCCTTCTCATTCCTGGTACCACCCTGGGCGAGGGGTGGAGTGACAGCACGATGCCCACAAACTTTCAGGGAAGATGGTCTATAACTCTGGAGAGACTGGGAGACACACATGATGTGCCCCTTCAGGGACAGAGTTGCGAAGGAGCACCTGAGGCCAGCCTTGATCTAGGGGATGGGTGAGGGACATGCACTTCTGCCAAAGAAAAGGGCTGACTGGGTGGAAGTACAGGAAGGTTCTGACTCTGGGCTTCTGCAGCTTTCCACAGCGTGGGCATCGTTTGCAAAAGGCAACTGCAAAACCTCTGCTCAGGGATTATGTACCCCTGAGTGAACCACTTAACCTTTGAGCCCCAGTTTCCTTCTTTGCAAAGCCAGTAAAACACCTAGTGGACACCACAAGGGGCCAGTGACTAAGTCCAGTCAGGTGAGAAAGAGGGTGGGGGATGGGGAAGTTTTAGGTGATTTCACTAGGTCTGGAGGGCTGAAGTGAAATCTACTAGAAGGGGTCAGGATTCTAGGAAGAGATTAAAAATAGGCACAGAAATGTGAAGGGAAAGATGGTAAACTAGGGGTCACTGGAATTTTTCCTTCGTTGAGGCTAAAGGATAGGATTTGGGATCCAGATTTCCCAAAGGCCTTGAACGCCATGGCAAGGGCTTGACCCTACAGTGGGATGGATACATTTTAAACAGGCAGCACTACCCTGGGGTAAACAGGTTATGAGGTCATATCTGGAAGGCAGGTACTGCAGGAAGAGAGGAGAACTAAGAGTCTTCCTGTTTGCAGGTGATTTCTGCAAACAGCTCAAGTCATAGATCAGAACCTAAGTGCTGCTTTCACACCTTCTAGAAGCCACAGCCCACCTCTGGACAGCCTGTGAAAAGCAGTCTACCTCCATTTCACAGGGACATAAAGAGAGCCAGAGGAGGGTCACCAGTCTTAGCTGCTCAGGCCGGGAGAGGACAGGTCACAACCTGAGCCACAACCTGGGCCCTGCCGGACTTGGGTTGCTTGCAGCAGCAGGTCAGAATTTGCCATTGACAAAGGAGTTCAGAAAGTGGAGATAGGGAGACAACCTTTGACCTCTGAGTCCTCTTAAGACCAAAGGGCTAAGAGGGACCCAGAGAGGTGGGTTTTGCTGTGGTCACATGGGTCAGCAGGGGCTCACTCACCCTAGAGCCAAGTCTGTCTAACAGTCCTCCAAACTGGACCCAGGATATGCGCAGGGGTTACTGGAAGTCCTTTCCCAAAGGGCAAGGGACAGAGGGAGTCACCTTTAACAAAAGGTGACTTTTCTAAGAAGCCCCCTAACCCCCCTCCTTCCCAGCACCAAGGCCTGGGGCATAGTGGTAGCCTGAGTCATGGAGCCCATCTGAATGGTAGCTATTGGGGCTGAGTGTGGGCCAGGGGCTGGAAAAACGAGGCCATTCTGTTAACCTCCAGCCCTGGTCCTTGGAGACCTGTGGCAGGCCTAGGGTGGGGTGGGGGCAGAGGACAGGTAGAAGCAGAACTGAACCCAAGGTGTCCACAGCCAGAAGGGGCTTTTTGTGCTGGGGGGGGGCAGTTCAGAAACCCAGCAGTTGGCTTTTGTTTTCAAATGACCTGTTTAATGATTACCTTTTGCAATCAAAGGAGCATGAGCTCTGAGAAAGCTAGAGTTCCAAACCTCCAGACCCCAAGGAGGAGCAGCCTAGCCCCAGAAGAAAGTAAACAAGACACCCACCCTAGGCAAGGCTGGCTGCCTCAAGCAAACAATGGCCCAGGACTGCGCTCCCAAGTGAGATTTCCAAGCAAGAACTTTAACAGGCAAACAACAGATTTGGATAGAATTATTTCCCTAGTACCCTGAGTTCTGCACAGAAGGGGACAGCCCAGAGGTGGGCTGTCATTTTCACTTAACCTTGACCTGTAATGTATTCATTCATTTTCCAAGCATTGGGAATCACTTTCAACCTCCTCCAAAAAATAGACAAATAAACCACCAAGCAACAACTTCACCATCCATTTTAACAGTCACAATGGTAGGCAAGAAGGGACCGAAGTTACAGCAGATACCGGCACTCAATTGCCCACTGGGCTCAAGCTCCTTAAAACAAAACAAAACAAACAAAAACAAAAACAACAAAAATCCTAACACAAATACCTACCAGGGCTCACAAGTCAAGCCCTTACTCAGTACTGAGAAAAATTCAAGTTGGTTTTTTTTTTTTTTCTTCTATTTTCCTTTTACCTTCCAAGGCCTTCAACTATTTTCCCTCCTGCATCCCAGCACAGCCAGGAGGCAGATCCATAAACAAACCTGCCCCTCTTCTCCCTCCACGGTTAGGCAACTCCCCCTTCCTAGATTTCCTGGACCCCAGGAGAAAGAATCTCAGGCGACCCAGGCCCCGCAGCCCCCTGCCTGCCCTCCCCCACAGCCGCAACCCTCTTAGGCACCTAGAGATAAACATCCACTAATGGTTTTCTAATTTTTCTGCTCTGGGTGGCCGCGTTCACTGGCTTGGATGAATCCCTCCCCCTTGGCCGTGGCGACCTGGGTTGGGGGATGGAAAAGTGTTAGTTTGTTTTTTCCACTGCAGCATTCTCACACCTGTTTTTCATTCATTCATTCATTCGTTCGTTCATTCGTTCGTTCATTCATTCGATCTCGGGGAGGGGACCGAGATGGGTGGGTGGGGGGCTAGGTAGGTAGGTAGCTAGGTGTGTGTGTGTGTGTGTGGGTGTGTGTGTGTAGGGGAGATGGTGACAGTAGCGGGCTGCGGGGTCAGGGCACAGGGACCCCCGCGGGATGGCAGAGGGGGTGGCTCTGTCGAAGGCCGGCGCTCCTCGGGGCCGAAGTTGTTTTCAGCGGCCCAGCGATGAGGACAGCCGCCCCGGGGTGCGCCTCTTTGTCTGTCCCCCGCCGGGCGCCGCGTCGCGGGTCCCCCCACCCCAACCCCCAGCGCGCTCGCTCACCTGGTCTTGGAGGACAGGAAGGCAAGTTTGATGAGGCCGTAGGTGAAGAGCGGGATACTCTCCTTGGCGACGCTGGCAACTTGCAGCCGATGCTCCAGGATGTGGAGTTCCATCGTCCGCCCGCGCTCCGCGGCGGCTCATCGGCGGGGGGCGACCCGTGGCCCCCCGCGGTCCCCGCGCCCCGCCCCGCTCGCCCCGCCGGCACCGAGCCGCCGAGGCCGGGCTGGACCCGGTAGCGGAGCGAGATCCAGTAAGTTGCGAGGGGAACCCTAGACTGGTGGGTGAGACAGGAGCGCCGGCGGAGTGAGAAGGAGAACGGCGGAGCAGCGGCGCGCGGCGCCCGGCGCAGGCAGCAGCTGGTGTTCGCTGTAACAAACAACTTGCCACTCAAACGCCGGCCTTCTGCGCATGCGCCTCTGCGCAAGGCCTGATGGAACTTGTAGTCCACGCGCTGCCCGGGGCGCCGCGGGTTGCCAGAGTCGAAGGGGAAGGGGCTGAGTAATTCCGCCATGGATGCACTGGAAATGCCGCGGCGCCGGCTCCGCAGGCCTGCCGAGAAGTCCAAGGGGAGACCACAGGCATTTGGAGTTTGGAGACAGTCTCAGCCTGGGTGTACGCTCTTGTTATTTATTTTAGCTTCAGGCTACGCGATTTGGCGGGAGAGGGGTGGGACCCCAAGACAACTCCTTCGCTGAAGGAGACCCGGAGCTGGGAGGGGAGAGGTTTAGAGAAATCGGTAGAGGGCGGAGAAGCCAAACAGAAAGGGCGTGTTGGGGGATAAGGAGGAGGGGTCCAAGAGAGCTGCCCTCCGGGAGGGAGGGGACCTCTAGGCTGGGTTCTGAAGATTGAATGGAAGCTCGCAGACAGGGGAGGGGCGCGTGGACCCAGGGCTGCGGCCTTACAGGAGAAGTGCCAGTGGGTCCCAGGCCACAGGAACGTGAAAGCCCACACGGTGCTGTATTTGGCTTTGTTGCAGCGGAAAAAAGCGAGGGAGGCGCGACGGGAGATAAGGCAGGCGAGGTAACCAAGATTCATGTCGCGAGGGTCAGGTGTCTAGAGCTAATGAAGTGGCAGGCCAGGCACTGTCCCGCGGGAGAGGAAGTGCTGGGGACCACAAGAGCTCGATGGAGGATCTGACAATATCGAGCCACTTCCAACCTCAGGGCCGAGGTGCCTGGACCTGTTCCCCAGACACTGCCCCCTTCATGGGTGAGTGGTTTTGAAATTTTCTAGGTTAGAGGTACTAGTGCTTTGCCCTTTGGCAGAGTAATTTTGGCGACTTGATGACTCAGGTCTATCTGCTGGGGCAGGCTGGGAACCGTCTTTTTGAGGGAGATTCTGGCCGTTTTCTCCCGCGTTTTTACCCCTCATTTATTAGATAAGAATGTTACTAGGCGCTCTCATTTCCATCAGTGGGCACAGAATCTTTAATCTTGGATAAATCTCAGAGATGCCTACTTTTCACTTTTACTACCCTCTAATATAGACTATATACAAAATATATCACCTTTTTTTATTTGATTCTTCATCTACACTCAGCTAAATCTCTGCTCAAAAACAGTGATTTAAAAGCAAAAATGTTTTAAATGAGGCTGGAACCCAGGGCCTTCTCACTGAGCTATGCCTCCAATTCTTTTTTTTTTTGGTACTGGGAATGGAACTCCTGACCTTGTGCATGCCAGGCAGGTTCTTGTGCTGCTGAGGTAAATCTCCAGCCCCTCCTTTTCTATTTTTCAGACAGGGTCTCACTGAGTTCCTAAATTGCCCAGGCTTGCAATCTTGCCTCAGCCTCCCAGTGCTGAGACTACAGCCATGCACTGCCGTGCACCGCTAAGCACTGCTGCATTTCTCGTCTGGAGCATAATGACTGGCGTATGAGAGACATTCACTCAATATTTTGGGAATGCATAAGTACATCCTCTATGCCTTTTAGATCCATAGACCCACATTGTCCAAATACAAGTGCATTCAGGCCCAGAAGGTAGCACACAGGGATATCAAGCAGGTCAGAAGGGCATCAGAGAAGAGCAACCTGCCTGAGGGTGCAACTTTTAATATCTATCAAAACAACCAACAAGTGATAAAACAAAGCTAAAGGCAGGAATTGGCCGGTTTTCTGACTTCTGCTCTGGATGGCTCAAGTCTATTTTTGAGTCTGCAGGTTATGACCCAGGAATGGATGGCGAAATCAATTGAGCAGGGTACAACTGGCACTGAAAGAAAGAAAAAAAGAAAGAGAAAGAACACAAGGAACCTGAGTACTGCACATGGTGAGCACAGGTTACATGATCTTTTCTGTGTCTTAGGAGACACTGGTTTGGGCCATGTATCCATGCAGGCATGTACATATGTGTCTGTGTGTGCATGTGTTTATTGGACCTTCATAGAAATCTATTTTTTTTTTTTTTTTTTTTTTGGTATTGGGAATTGAACTCATGGCCTTGTCCTTGCCATGCAGGTGCTGTGGTGCTGAGCAATATCCCCGGCCGAGAAACCTATTTCTTAACTCTTGGTCTTGAAGGCGCTGTGGGCTTTATGTTTAATCAAGTCAGACCATGGAAGAGTTTGCAAATTGATACATATTGGTTTGACTTGCAGAATTGTTTCCATAGGATTGCATTTGGTGCTTAAGATTTTGGTGAAATTTATCTAGTGAAGTTAATATTCAGATGTTAAGGAAACTGACTTCTGGGTTCCCAACTGCTGAAGATGGTTGCAGGCTGGGATTAGGGTGAGGCCAGGGAGGCACCTTGGGCAATAAATGTAAAGCAACAGTGACTCAGGGCTATGGTAGGGGTAGGAGTGGAAGCCATTCAGAATTCCCTTCTCTCTTAGATCCCTAGCCTGGCCCTCCTTTCCTGGTTCCTTTTGGTTCCTAACTGGTTTCTTTGCTGCTCAATCCCAAGATGAGTGGAGGTCCATCTAGTCTTCCTTCCTGCAGTATATTATAGCTGTCTGTGAATCATGTCTCTTTGAAAGTCCTTCCCCATTGGCTCTGGCTTTGGGTTTGGCCAGTGAGATAACAGCATGTGTTTTGCATACACCCTGTGTGTTGAGACTTGTGCTTTGGATGCTGCCCTGGTGACATGCTGAAAAGAAACCTGGATGAAATTCACAAGGATAGGTCCAACTGAGACAGCCGGAGGTGGCCCCTGCCAACAACTGGTGTCACTTACACCAGCCCTGTGAGATCATCATGGGTTTTCCAATGACTGTCCAGCTGAAGGTATATTGTGCATTTCCTGTTGCTGTGTCAAGTTAGCCGAGTCTGGGTATTATGCAAAGAAAAGGGGTGTGTTTAGTTCACAGTTGGGAAGCTGGAAGTCGGTGATTGGGTGGCCATGTTGGTTTGGCATCTGGTGAGGGCAGCATGGAGAATGGGATCCTAGTGGTGGGAACAGGTGTGGTCAAAGGTCACATGGACAAAGGGAAAGCCAGAGATAGGGAGGGGCCAGGCTTGCTCCTTTCCTTACCACCTACCTACTCCAGCAGGAACCCACTGGGTCTGGAGGCAATGACAAAAAAAAAAAGGAATAAAAATAAAACCGAATTTCATAATATAATAATAGAGTAACAAGAGTTGATACATTGCATGTTGTTATCTTTAAATTAGTTGCTCAGGGTACAAGGTATGGGCATAAAATTTCTCCAGTTGATATTAGCAGAAACTTTCCTTTTTATTCTTTTTATTTTTTAAATTATTATTTTTTGGTGCAGGGAATTGAACTCAGGGGCCTGTGCTTACCAGGCAGGCATGGTGCCACTGAGCCACATTCCCGGCCCAGATGAACTAAGAGACACTAACAGTGTAACTGTCTTACATTTTTTCCCTTTTCCCTACTGTTCTTTGCTCTTTCATCCATCCTAGTTCCTTTTTCTTTTTAAATGATTTCTTTTTATTTCACAACAGCTGTTGTACATTTTAAGGTTTTTTTTTTTTTTTTTTTTTATCGGTACTGGGGATCAAACTCATGACCGCCTGCTTGCAAGGCAGGTGTTTATGCTGCTGAGCTAAATCCCCAGCCCCTTGTTGTACATTTTAGACCTTATTTACTCTTTCAGTTTCTCTCATCAGGGAGACACTATGATGTTTACACATGTGAATCTGATTTATTTCACTGAAGAGTATGGTCTCTAGCTGCATCCATTTATCTATAAAAGCCTCAAGTTTATCCTTCTTTATGGCTGAGTATTACTCCATTGTATAGAAATATCACATCTTTTTTATCCATTCCTGATTATGGGCATTTGTGTTGTTTCCAAGATCTAGCTCTTACAAATTGTGCTGCTATAGCCATGCACATGTATTACTGTGGTATGATGTTTTAATTCTTCTGGGAAGATACCCAGGAGGAGAATAGCTGAGTGGAATGGGACATCTAATCCTAGCTTTTTAGGATTCTCCGTACTTATTTCTGCAGTGGTTGCACCAGTCCACAACCCCACCAATAGTGAAGAAGGATTCCTTTTTCCCTGCAGCCTCACTAGTGTTTGATATTGGCTGATTTCTTGATGATAATAGCCATTCTTTCTGGAGTGAGATGGAATCTCAGTGTTGTTTTAATTTGCATCTCTTGAATGACCAGTGATGTTGAACTTTTTTATATATTTATTTGCTGTTTGTATTTCTTGATCTGAGACATCTGTATTCATCTTAGATGCCCATTTTTCTTTTTCTTTTTTTTTTAAGGAGAAAAAAGAAAAAAAACAGAAAAAGGGTACAAGTTATACAGAATTTCAGAAAAAATAAACAGTAGGAAATCACTAGTTAATTACATATTGTCATCTTAGAAATAGTTGTTGAAGTTACAAAATTAAAGCATATAGAGGGGACTTTCAAACAGTGAGACTGCAAACAGTTTTGTTCAATGATCCAACAAAACTCAGTAATATGGTTATCTATCTTATACACTTAAATATGTACGCAGTTATATCTTTTAGAGAACTTTCTTTTCCTTTCTTTTGTAAGATGCCCATTTTTCAATTGGGTCTTTGAATCTGTGTTGTTTAAATTTGAATTCTTTATGTTTTGATGTAAGTCCTTTGTCAAAGGGACGATTGTCTAATCTTTTTTCCCACTCTGTGGTTGTCTTTTCACTCTGTTGGTGATTTCTTTTGCTGTACAAAAGCTTTTTAATAAGATGGGATCCCAGTTGGTGATTCTTTGAAGTATTTCTCATACAGTTGGTGTTTTGTTCATGAACTCTTTACCTACCCCCGTGTCTTCCACCTATTTTTTCTGCCAGTAATTTAGTGTTTTTGTTTTTGTATTTAGATCTTCGATCCATTTTGACTTCAGTGCATGATAATAGACATGGGTCTAGTTTTAGTCTTTGGCATGTGGAAAGCCAGGTT